AGGAACAACTCGTGTACAACGAGCGAAACGACAAGCTCTTCGCAAAGAGTTTGAAGTCTTGCACATAAAGACTGGAGAATCTGTTAATGACTATTTTGGAAGAACTCTCACTATAGCCAATAAGCTGAGAATGATAGGGGGAAAAATGGAAGATGTTCATATCATTGAAAAATTTTGAGGTCTATGACCTCAAGATATGATTATGTTGTATGTTCCATTGAAGAGTCAAATGATCTCGACACCATGTCGATTGATATGCTGCAAAGCAGCATTTTGATACATGAACAAAGGATGGGTAGACAAGTGGAAGATGAACAAGCTCAGTAAGTCACTCAAGGAACCCATCAAGGAGGAAGAGGTAGAGGCCGAGGGTTCTATCCAGGAAAAGGGAGATGACGTGGATAAGGACGTGGTGGTAGGTTTGGTTACGAAAAATCTACCTTGGAATGCTACAATTGTCATGAGTTAGGACACTTTCCGCGGGAATGTCCTAAGGAGGTGAGATCAACATCATACTATACGGAAGCAAAAGAAGAGATGTTGTTAATGTCTTTGGTGGACTGCATGGAAACTACATATTAACATTTGTGGTTTCTCGACTCGTGCTGTAGTAACCACATGTGTGGAAACAAAGATATGTTTGTTGAGCTGGATAGCATGTTTAAAGAGAGGGTTAAGCTCGGACAACACTTATTGTACAAGGTAAAGGTACGGTGCGATTGGAGATAAATGGTGTTGTTTTGGTGATCACAGGAGTTTTCTTTGTACCAGATCTCGTAAACAATCTTCTGAGCGTTGGTCAGTTGCAAGGGAAGGGTCTTGGGGTGTCTATTTTCAATGGAACTTGCAAGGTCTTCCATCCTCAGAAGGGGGTAATCTTTGAGACAAAGATGACAAGCAACAGAATGTTTTTGTTGTATGAGTGTTACATACCACAGAAGCAACAATGCTTCTCATCTCTTACTATAGATCAAGTGAACCTTTGGCATCGTCGATATGGACATCTCAGCTGTAATAGTCTTAACGTGCTCCAAAGGAAGAACATGGTGAAAGGATTACCAAGCTTTTTCCACCCTCTCAAAAGGTGTGTGAATATTGTTTGGTGGGTAAACAACATCGTAATCCTTTTCCAAGCAAAAGTACGTGGAGAGCATCCAACATTCTTCAGTTAGTACATGCTGATTTGTGTGGGCCGATCAAGCCAATTTCCAACAGTAAGAAACGTTATGTTATTACTTTTACAGATGATTTTAGCAGAAAAACTTGGATTTATTTCTTAGTAGAAAAGTCTGAAGCTTTTGCAACTTTCAAGTTTTACAAAGTGAAAGTTGAGAAAGAAACAGGGTATTTATACGAGCTTTGAGAACAGATCGTAGGGGAGAGTTCACATCGTTGGAATTTGAAAGTTTCTGTAATGAAAATGGAATTCAGCGACAATTAATTGCTGCATACACGCCTCAACAAAACGACGTCGCAGAGAGGAAGAATCACACCATTATAAATATGGTGCAAAGTGTGTTGTCTGCTAAGCAAATTCCCAAAACCTTTTGGCCTGAAGCTGTAAATTGGGTTGTTCATGTGTTGAATCAAAGTCCAACACTTGCATTGAAAGACAAGACTCCTGAAGAGGCGTGGTCTGGGATTAAACCACCCGTTAAATATTTTCGAGTATTTGGTTGCATTGGCCATGTAAATGTACCTGATGCAAAAAGGATAAAGCTTGATTCGAAGAGCCTGAAGTGTATTTTCCTTGGGGTGAGTGATGAATCCAAAGATTATAGGCTATTTGATCCAATTTCAAATAGAATACTTATAAGTAGAGATGTGGTGTTCGAGGAAGATCAACAATGGAGCTGGGATGATAGTCATAAGCAAGTTATACATGTTGATTTGGAGTGGGAAAATGATGAAGAACCAGGTGTTGAATGTAATCGAGAAGAGCAAGCAGAATTTGGAAGTTCGTCTACTCAAGATGAGGCATCGACTCACAATGAGATGTCACATATTCAAAGTGAAGGAGGCATTTCAAGTGTCGAAAACTCACCTACTCAACCTAGAGTAGACACTCAAGTTCCAGAACGCGAAGGACGAATATGAAAACAATCAGTTTGGTTAAAAGACTACGAGACATGTGAAGGGTTGTCTGATGAGGAAATTGTAGAGATGACACATTTGGCTATGTTCACTGATCAAGACTCTCACTTGTCATTTCCATTACCGAATCAAGATCCCACAACGTTCGAAGACGTTGTGAAATCAGAGAAATGGAGGCATGCTATGGATCAAGACATTCAAGCCATAGAAAGAAAAAATACGTGGGAACTAACATCGATGCCATATGGAGGTAAAAAAAGCATAGGTGTGAAGTGGGTCTTTAAGACGAAGCTCAATGAAAATGGGGAGGTGGACAAGTATAAAGCGCGACTGGTAGCGAAGGGTTATTCTCAGGAATATGGTGTTGATTATGCTGAAGTGTTCGCACCAGTAGCTCGTCTTGAAACCATATGACTAATTCTTTCACTGGCAGCCCAGAAAACATGAACGGTCTATCAACTTGATGTAAAAATCAGCTTTTCTCCATGGAGAAACTAAAGAAGAAGTGTTCGTCAATCAGCCTCCTGGTTATGAAGTTAAAGGGCAAGAGTCAAAGGTTTATCGACTCAAGAAGGCATTGTATGGATTAAAATAGACTCCCCGTGCCTGGTACAGTCGCATTGAAGCATATTTCATTATAGAGGGATTTACAAAATGTCCCTACGAGCATATTTTATTCATAAAATTTGGAGCTGGAGGTAATATCTTAATTGTTTGTCTTTATGTTGATGATCTCATTTATACGGGTAATGATAAAGAGTGTTTGAAGTTTGTAAGAAGTCAATGATGACTGAATTTGATATGACCGACTTGGGAAAAATGAGATATTTTCTAGGTATTAAGGTCGAACAGAGAACATATGGTATTTTCATTGGTCAGCGGAAGTATGCACAAGAAATGTTAGAAAAGTTTAATATGGATCAATGCAACGCAGTGCATAATCCGGTTGTTCCCGGTCTTAAGCTCACGAAAGATGAAGAGGGAACTGAAGTTGATGGCATCATCTACAGGCAAATGGTGGGAAGTCTTATGTACTTAACCACCACACGCCCGGATTTGATGTTTATTGTTAGTTTGATCAGTCGATATATGAAACCTCCCACAGAGTCTCATTTGGCAACAGCAAGGAGAGTACTAAGGTCAAAGACCTTCCAGCCTAGTGGTAAAGGCTTGGGCATGTCATAGTCATGAACCCGAGTTCGAGTCCTGGGAGGGGAGTGTTGGCGACATTTAAGTGAGGCCATGTTTAGCCTCCAAATTTGCCGGGGATTAGTCGGGCTTTGGCCCGGACACCCTTACAAAAAAAAAAGGAGAGTACTAAGGTATGTAAAGGGTACAATTAACTTTGGGATTTTCTATAGGAAGGGAGGAAATAAATAGCTCATTGGGTTTACGGATAGTGATTATGCTGGTGATCTAGATGACAGAAATAGTACTTCGGGTTATGTATTTTTTATGAGTTCTGGAACGGTTTCATGGTGCTCAACAAAACAGCCGGTGGTTACTCTCTCTACTATTGAAGCTGAGTTTATAGCAGCAGCTAGCCAAGTTGTATGGTTAAGAAGAATTTTGGAGAAGTTAAGTCAAGTGCAACATAGTCCAACAGTGGTGTATTGTGACAATACATCAGTTATAAGGCTCTCAAGGAATCCTGTAATGCATGCTCGCAGCAAACATATAGACGTGAGGTTTCACTTTCTTAGAGAACTTGTCAATGATGGAGTAGCCGAGTTAGTTCAGTGTTCAACTCAAGAGCAGGTTGCAGACATTCTGACAAAGCCCCTAAAACCTGATGCATTCTTGAAGTTGCGACAACTGTTAGGTGTGTGCGAGTATCCAGGATTAAACTGAATGATTGTCACCATTCAGTTGAAGGGAGGATGTTGAAATTGTCCACTACTTTCTGGTTTCTAGTTTTATGAACTGAATAAATCCTTTCGAGTCATTTGGAAGACTAGTTAGTTTATTTTGACGGATTCATATGCCACTACTTTAGTTAGTGGGTTAGCTATTTTCTTTTTAAGTCCTTGTAATGCTATTTATAGCTCTTCATTATCAGTCAATAAACACAAGTTCTCAATTCAATCATTCATCAATAGTTCAATATTTTGGCTTGTATCTTTTTTTTTTCATATCTATTATGTATGTGTTTTTATCGAATATGTTATGGTGTTATAAGTGATTAAAAATGAATATATTTTTAAATTAGTTGAATACATTAAAACTAAATTTAAAATTTAAAGACTAATATAATTCTAGTTTATAAAATTACTAGTTGTGTGTCCGCGCAATGCAGCGGGAGCCGTGAATTTTAACGATTTTGAAGTTTCAATGGTTTTGTTAGAGAAAATTTAACGATGATATAAGTTACATTTGGTCTTTACATAATACAATTGGAATAAATAAGAGTTATGGTTCTAATTACAGTCTATCGATATGACAATTTAAAATGTAATATATTTAAAATCCAACATATTTAAACGACACCACAAATGTGTTTGATTTACACCAAGAGCAAAGAATCAAGAGATTGAGAGCGAGACTGAGAGTTCTAAAGCAATTGAATGAAAGATGAATGAAAGAACTTTTAATATTGATTTAGAGGCCGTTTACCAAACGTTTACTCGGGTAAGCGTTTACCAAGTCACATTACCTTACAGGATGAATATGGTAAAGACCAACAATCTTACATGATAAGAGTGAGACAAGGACCAAGAGTCTTATCCGGTAAGTGAAGGCGACAATTCTTACCATAGTAAGCACTTACTGGGTAAATTGTTGCATTCGATATCATTTTGGTGAACTAAAATCTTACCGAGTAAGAAATTAATAATGTTAAATTTTATTGATAAACACTTATCTACGACGCCTTAATCTGATTTGATTTATAATTTTCTGTTTTTAACATAAATCCTGAAAAAAAAATTGGAACTAAAAAAAGGAAACAATTAAGGTGTTTTGTCCGTTGTGTGATTGAGTCCCAAGAAGAAGAGATAGGTATGGCGGAAACCAGAAACCTGGGAAATCTCATCTTCCTACGTGTCGTAACAACAGCTTCTCCACAAACCGCCATCACTAACGTGGCCATCTCCTCCATCGCCTCATCATCGATCCAATTTCCTCCCATGGCTCTTATAAATGAATTCGGTTTTTCAACAATCACGTATAGAAAGCAATAAAATTCAATCAATAGAAGCTTGTTGAATTGAAGAGATCGATGTCGTCGGAACAGCAAAGGAAGGAATTAGACGATCGAGCGAGAAGAGGGGAGACAGTGGTACCTGGCGGCACCGGCGGGAAAAGCCTCGAGGCTCAACAACACCTTGCTGAAGGTAAATATAACACTCGTCATTGAACAGCTTAATATCCTATACAATGAATCAATACAAATACAGCATTGTGTACAAGAAATTGTTGAGATTTTGAGAATTGAATTGAAGTGATTTGAGATTGTTGTATGATTGAAAGGGAGAAGCAGAGGAGGGCAGACAAGAAGGGATCAGTTGGGAGCAGAAGGGTACCAGGAGATGGGGCGAAAGGGTGGTCTGAGCACCGGCGATCAAACCGGCGGTGGACGTGGTAAGACCGATGAGGGAATCGACGTTGATGAGTCCACGGGATGAGCCGAGGTGCCTGCGTTTTGTTGTAATAAAATGAAACAGCATCAGGAGTGTGTGGTTTAGTTTAGTAATGGGTTCGTTTTTATAAGAAAAGAAAAAATGAATGAAGGTGAATTTGGCGTTCATTTCACCATATTCCAAACTTTTTTCATATATGTATATAAATCTATACTTATATTACAAAGTATTTGATAAAAAAATTTAAAAACTATTTTTTATGTATAAAGTATTGTATATTAATTTACATTACTTAAAATTCAAGATTATGAGTAAATTATGTATATGTACAACTTATTAAAGCTTAATGTTTGAATTCGTATAACTAACTACGGATAAATATAATCAAATAGAAGATAAAAATTTCATTTTAAAATATAAAAAATCTAAAATATAATTATTCTTTGAGTTCTAATAAAAAAAAATTATATTATTAAATCAAATATAAATTATTTTGTTATTAAACCTCAATTGAGTTCTAATAAAAAAATTATATTATTAAATCAAATATAAGGCTTTTAGATGTTGCCTTAGGGGCCGTTTACTAAACGCTTATCCGGTAAGTACTTACCGGGTAATTTTTTTTACCGGATAAACATGGCAAGGGCCAATAATCTTACCCTGTAAGAACGATGATAAGTATGAAGAGTTTTACCCGGTAAATGAAGGGGACGACTCTTACCTGGGTAAGCGTTTACCAGGTAAATTGTTGTATATGATACGTTTTGATGTACTACAATCTTACCCAATAAAATAAATTATAGTGTTGACTCTTAACATTGAAGCATTTATTGGGTAAACATTTAGGTAAACGGTTCCTTGAAGTTATCGACGAAAACGTAACAAACTAGAAACAAATTTTCAGAATTTCAAATGAAACTTAGTTTTTTATCAAACAAAATATCTAAAACTCATCTTTAAGCAAAAACTAGAAACATGAATCTGAAAGCTTTTCCATGCATCAAATGCTCCAATGAACACAATGTAAAGATAATGTAAACAAATCTGTATATATATATATATATATATATATATGGGTATCGCAATAATATCGTTTGTAGGTATCACAATGTGTATCTTGTGTTCACATAAAGTCCATCGGAATAAGGTTCGTCAAATAAGATTCGTCGGAGAAAGGAAAGAGTAGAGATGAGAGAGGATATTTATAAAATCTCTAAAATGTCCTTAATTAATTTTTTAAGTTAAAATTAACAAAATTATTAATTTAATCTTTGATTTGTGATTGATATTAAATCTTACGGTTATCATAAACAAAACAGTTTTCATACATACATACATACATACATACATATATATTGGTGGAGGTTCAAACGAGAACATCTTCATTTTACGAGAATACGAGAACATCCTTATCACATGTGATAATACACTTGAGGAGACTTGGTGGTGTATGGATGTTGTGCCTTGCAACTTAGGTTGTATCAGAGGTTGTATGAGTCTATGATTTAGTATCACATGTGATGGTCTTGATGGATTATAGTATCACATTAATAATACATTTATCATATGTGATAGTACATGTGAAGGAGCTTAATGGTGTAAGGACGACTTGGCTTACAACCTATATCGTGTCAAAAGTCATTCACGCCTCTGATTTAGTATCACATGTATATCATATGTAATCGAATAATAGTATCACATGTGATTGTTTATGATAAAACGGTGTTCTCGCATTCTCATAAAATGAAGATGTTCTCGTTTGAACGTTTCCTTATATATATACTAGAAGAGTACTCACGCAATGCAGCGAAACACATCTCGGTTTTAATGTTATATTTYATTATTTGTCTCTGTCGATGTTATAATACGATTTTATGTGTTTTTAAGAAGACATTAATGATTTTATTTCTAAATAAAATATAAATATGAAGATATCATAAAATTTTGAAAAAAAAAAATATATCAATGTGAATATCAAATCAACTATTTAAAAGTTTTCATTTTTATGTAATTTCTTTAATTTATTTATTTTTATTATAATTTAATTTAAGTTTAATAATGAAATAATTTATTTTTTGTTTAATAATATAAACATTTTAATAGATAATAATTAAGTATTCTGTTAGAACTCAATGATTATCCTAATCATATTTTGGATTTTTTATATTTAAAATGATATGTTTATCATGTATTTGATTATGTTTATCTACAGTTAGTTACACGAATTCAGATATGGAGTTTTAATAAGTTGTACTTACGCACAATCTACTTGCAATCTTGAGTTTTAAGTAATATGAATTAATAAACAGTACTTTACGCATAAAAAGTGGTTTTTAAGAGTTCTTGTCAAATGCTTTATAATATAGTATAGATATGTGTATGTGTGTATGTAAAAATATTGTTCTTTTTTTTACTTTTTTTTATAGAAAAAGACAAAATAATAAGCAAAAGATTAAAATGACCCTTAATTGAACGGAGTTAATGGAAACGTTAATCAGAAGAATGTATGAACAAAACAAATTGAATACCACAAGAACCAAATCTATAATAAACATACTATAGGGACTATCGTTAAAAAAATCAAACCACATAAACCAAATCCACAATTCACTCTTGAAAAATATACTGAGGTAACTAAAATAATCAAACCCTAAAATATATCGAGGTAACTAAAATATGCATCAAACACATTCACCAATATAAAAACAGATAAAAACCATAAAAATAACTGAAAAAAATATCAAGGTAATTATAGGTAAAACAATAACTAAACTCTACAACTTGTGACTTTTCGATGGCTTACAAAAAATTCACATCTAGGTAGATTTAGGGTCTGCTTGGTAACAACTTAATAAACTGTATATAGCGGATATGACTGATTCGTACAACCATGCCTATGTGTTCGGTAAGAGCGTAATCGCTCAAACAAGGTCTATTTGTACAAGAACCTGTTAGATACTTCTTTTAAGTTCACTAATTAGCATATTTCAAGCATATACAAATGATGTGTAAACATAAACACATAAAGATCCTACTTCCAAGTGGAACTCAATGGGTGTCTTACATTTGGTTCCTATAAAAGGTGTAAAAGGCCAACAAAAGGTAGCTTAAGGAAACAAAAGAAAATGAGCTAGAAGAACAGATGGGCAAGACTCTCCCAAGTCCCATGGACTGGGCCTTTAACCTGGTCCCTGTAACCGTTCCCAGAAAAAGCCTTGTTGTATAGGTCCTTTTGGATTTAACCGGTTGGGCTGACCGGTCCCTAACCAATCCAGTTCAGTCCTTTCATAACCAGTTACGAAGTCGAGCCATATTTGGTTAAGTTGGAATGGTCTGGAGCAGTTATGTTTGCCCATTCTTCAATCTAGTGGGTTTTTACACGTAATTTTTATGCAAAAAGAATAACTCGGTTAATATGAGTCTATATTTCTGTTTCAATTCAGAATCTAATTGTGATGCAGTTGAATGAGCAGAGGTATTTCATATCTCGAATAGCTGCATTTCATAGAGTTTATGCTAAATCCGTATCCATATTATTGAAAAAAAAAACGTATTAGCATGAAACAGACTTATGCTCGAATAGGCATGGCAAAGGAAGCTACAGATGTTGCATCACAAACTAAAGACGACGAGTTGCTGGGCCGCCTCAGAAACACTTTACAACAGAATTCAGCAGCTTCATCCATTTTTTATACTCTCAGAGATAAACTATCCTTCCCGAGCGTTTCTTAGTGTTCCTATGGGCTGCTATTTTCTTTCTCGTGGGTGATCACATCGTCGATATAATAAGTAGTCTTGATGTAAAAAAATTTGTTGTATAGACAAATTTAATGTAAGTTGAGAGCTTTCTCTTTGAGTGTGATTTTGAAAGTTTGGTGTTTCTAATTTATGTTTGGGGTTAGTAAATCATTTAACAGAAGGAATTGGTTTTAGATTTTATTCTGATTTCCTTGAAGAGTTCTTAGATTAAATCCTTGTGATACATTAAAGAGTTTGTATTGAGTGGAGTCGATGTTTGTTGCCTTTGATCTTGATTCCAACTAAGTTTTGAATTCGGACCGGAATCGGTTACATTTTGACCTATAAATAGGGGTTGATTAAGGGTCACTTTATAACCGGTTGTTCCTTATCTATGCTACCTTATAAACCAAATTTTATAAAAGTCTTAAAAACAATCTTAAATTCGATTGGTAACAAGTTGTCTATGATTATTGTATGCATTTGTATTCAAATCAATGAACTCACGTTGCATTCCTGGCCAAATTTAACTGTTGTCAATGAACTCACTTTGTAGTGGAATATATTTATTTAACAAATTTTGTTATATAAAAATATTGAAGATTTAGGGAAAAATTACATGTGATGGCTTGTTGTTGTTTTGAATTAGGAATTAGGCAAAATCTGTTTAAGAATTGAATTAAATAAGTTGAATTTTAAGACATCACTTTTTGGCTTTTGATGCTCCCAAATGCTAACTACGATATCTGAAGTTGCAATTTGTTTGGTGATGCATTTGATCTTGAAAAGTTATCATTTAATAAAATCTCAAATCCCCCGATTTCAAATCTTTCAATAAAATATCTCTAAAAACCATTCCATCAAACCAAATGGACCATTAGTGTTTCCTTTTGTCATTCAACAAACTTTTAATGACAAGGTTGATCTTGATCAGTTTTTAAAACAATATGTTGAGACATGCCATCAAATATAAAAGGGTATAGAATTAAGTCTCATTTGAAAAAAATACTCCAAATATAGTTTGGGTACACATTTTTTTTTTTGTAAAATTAGGCTATGTATGATCTAATTTTCAATCATTATGAATAAAAATTGACTTGGAATGGGAAGGGTTATTTATAAAAATAACCGGTTTACACAACCTTTTGCCACAAAATAACCACATTTTATAGGTTTTGCCAAAATAATCACCCGGATCGCCCCCGTACACAATGGGGGCGATCCCGGGTAAAAAAAAAATTCCTCAAAAGTCGAGATTACTGTTCACCTCTTTGACCGTGTTTGACCTCGCCCCTCGTACAGTACGGTCAACGAGGTGAACAGTAATCTCGACTTTTGAGGATTTTTTTTTACCCGGGATCGCCCCCATTGTGTACGGGGGCGATCCGGGTGGTTATTTTGGCAAAACCTCTAAAATATGGTTATTTTGTGGCAAAAGGTTGTGTAAACCGGTTATTTTTATAAATAACTCGAATGGGAATGACCCAAAATCCAAAAAGATGATTTAAATCACCACTCCTTTAATGTTTGTAACTTTTTTTTGGATATCTTGCCTTAGAAAGGATTTGTGAAAAAGAGATCATATTCTTTCCACCTATAACTACAATTACAAAGAGGTTTGTTATTATACACATTCAACAAAAAGATTTATTTTTGTATGAATGATTGCAGAAGCTACTAACACCAATACTTTACATAAATGGTTATTTGAATCTACTGTAAGTACAAATGTTGTATACTTTATCTTGAAAGAATTTGATATTTCGCAATTGAATAAATTTTAATGAACTTTTACATCTCGTCGCATTGTGCGGGTATACAACTAGTATTTTATTATTTAGATATTTTACATATTATTTAATAAATATATTTCATAATTATAAATTTTCTAAATTATTCATTAATATAGTAATATTAATAAAATTAGTAAAACACAATTTATAACGCTAACATTTTTTTTTAAATATGTATTATTGAAAAAAGAAAATACGAATTATCACCTTTTTTCTACCAAAAAAATACTATCTTTTAAAGAATATATTATACTTGTTTAAAAAAAATTACTTAACATATAAATATATTAAAGAAACTAGTTTTTTTTTTTTTTTTTGAAATATTCATTAATATAACAATATTAAAAAAATTGTATATCACATCACTATCATCTTAAAAAAAACTTTAAAATATATGTTTAATTAAAAAAATAAAATACAAAGTGTTACATTTTTTACAAAGTATATCTCAAAAATAATATATCGTATTCACTTAAAAAAATATTTTACTCTACAATATTTAATTTGCATGTGATTTAATAAGAAAAAGTAAAAAAAAATTCAAATGTTTTTTTAGATCGTAACAATGAAAAAAGAAAATCATTAAAAATAATTTGAAACATGTTTTTTTTAGTCATGTCATCAAAATGATATGTCATTCACATACCTTATTAAAACCAAAGAAGCAAAAAAGATAACAGGTTACTCATTGCAAAAGAGCAAAAAAAAAGTACGATATCTAATAAAAATAATTTAAAAATAAATTATAATAATAATAATAATAATAATAGATTACCATTTCATTCATTTAACTCATATAATAATACAATCTGGAAAAAAAACATTTTTCTAGGCACACCAAAATAAATAAACACATGAAAAACTTAAAAAGTGATTGAAAAAAAATTTCGAGGCAAGAACAGCTTTTGACTTTTCAATAGTTTACAAAAATATGCATTTAGCTGGTTCATCAAAATAAGCTTATAAAAGTATGTTAATAACTTACCGATAATAAATACTTTTGAAAGTTTGAATAAACAACTTAATTGATGTCAAATATGTAATAATTTTTTTTTGAAGAAGTTAAATCATTCTAACTTATGATAAGTTGATAAACACTTCTGTAGAAAAAAAGAATACTTGTTTCAAATAAGCAATCTCAAATACCCTATAAGAAAAAGAGATAAAAAGACGGGAAATTTATAAAAATAACCGGTTTACACAACCATTTGCCACAAAATAACCACATTTTACAAGCTTTACCGGAATGACCACACGGATCACCCTCGGGGGCGATCCGTACACTACGAGGGCGATCCGTACACTATGGGGGCGATCCCCCCATTAAGTCTTAAAAAAAATTCCTCAAAAGTCGAGATTACTGTTCATTATCTCGTTGACCGTGTTTGACGTCGCCCACGGGGCGATCCGTACTGTACGGGGGGCGATCCGGGTTTTTTTTGTTGGTATTTTTAATAAAACTGATACGCCATTAAAGTTGTATTTTTTTAACTTTTTTATAACCAAATTTCATGGGTAAAGGTTTAAACATAAACCTTTATAATTATGGAGAAACAAAAATTATTTTTATTTATTTTGGGTTTCGTAAATCAGATATAATATCTGATTGACGAAATCTGACCTCTATTTTATCATTTTGTGTTTTTTATTTAACAATTAAGGGGTGTTTTTAATAAAAATGGAAAAATACATAAAGTGTGTCTTTTTACGTATTTAATTTTAAATTTCACGATTTTTCGTTATAAAATAACCGAATGATAATTGTTGTATTTTTTTTTTTAATTTTTTGGTATTTTTAATAAAACTGATACGCCATTGAAGTTGTATTTTTTAATTTTTCGAAAAGTACTCTAAAACACCATTTATATTTTGGAATAAACCGCCACTTCGAAGATACACACAAACATTATCACTTTGACGTGATTTCATGTTTTGTGATGGTTGATTGTGTTTAGTGGGTTAAAGATTGTGATGGTTTATTGTATTTAATAGGTTAAGAGTTGTGAGAGTAAAATATATGAGAAGAGAAATGGAAGGGAATGTGTGAAAAATTATGAAGTAGAAGATTGGTATTTATAGTGAAATTGGTATTAGAAAAAAAATTAAATTTTTTTTTACCCGGATCGCCCCCCGTACAGTACGGATCGCCCGGGGGCGAGGTCAAACACGGTCAACGAGAATGAACAGTAATCTCGACTTTTGAGGAATTTTTTTTTAAGACTTAATAGGGGGATCGCCTAGGCATGGCAACGGGGCGGGGATGGGGCGGGGTTTGCAATCTCCGGCCCCGGTTTATAGTCACGGTCCCTGGCCCCGGCCCCGGTCCCTGACGGGTACGGGGATTAACTTTTCGGCCCCGGTCAAATTTCGGTCAATCCCCGGTCAACCCCTGGTCAACATCTTAAACATAAATAAGAACCTTAACATTTTTCAAGATGAACTCAATTATACAAATGCTGTTATAGAGATGCGGTTATACATACATAACTCCATTATAATCCCTCCATTTCAAACCTCTAGTGTTTCCAATTTAAAATTGACACAGATGCTTGCTGCATTCATATGAACTTTATTGCAAAACCAAATTCTTATGAACTTTATTGTAAAACCAAATTCTTATGAACTCAAAGAACCCACATCAATTCTAAAATTAGAAAAACCAAATTTAGGAAAGAAAGTTACACGAGTATAAATTCATTACTCTTTAAGGGGTGTTACTGTTTGAAGAAAAAGACTGACTGGTGGCTCTGCTCACTGCTGCAAATTGATGAAAAAGACGACTAGGGCGGAGGTTGCGACTGACGAGGACTTTGAGTGTTGGTCGATTACTCCTCGATTGAGTCGTGGGTCGTGACGAAGACGAGTCGACGAGGGTTGTGAGTCTTGTGACGCTAGTCGACGGCAACAATAGTCTTTTGTGGTGTGTACGGTGAGCCGACGACTCGACGAGGGTTGTGACTTGCGAGCCGACGAGGGTTGTAGAAGGGCGGACAGCGGTGCCGGTGGCGGACTGTTGATTGTGTTAATGAGAATGAGAGTGAATCCTACTCGTGTTAGTGTTTGTGACTGCGTGTATAACCAAAAGCCCAAAGCCGAAGCCAAAGCCCAAAGCCCAAATATGAAATAGTCCATATACATATACCGGGTACGGGGCGGGTCGGGGGATACAATACCCGGCCCCGGACCCAACCCCGGTTTGCCTCTCCCGGGGATCCCCGGCCGCGGCCCCGGTACCCGTTTTAGCGGGGAATCCCCGTCCCCGTCCGGGTCGGGTGAACCGGGTTCCCCACTGGGTCGGGCCAAATCACCATCCCTAGGATCGCCCCCATCGTGTACGGATCGCCCCGGGGAAGATCTGTGTGGTCATTCTGTTAAAACCTCTAAAATGTGGTTATTTTGTGGCAAAAAGGTTGTGTAAACCTGTTATTTTTATAAATTTCCCTAAAAAAACACCGAGGTAATTATTATAAGTAAAATCATAATTAAACTATTTCCTATTTATCAAAGAAATTAATCTCATCAGAGAAAAATCATCATATAGGATTCATGTTTCTACAAGGAAAAAGAGGTGAGAAGTGCATCAGAGTCATGGAAGCATGAGGAAACAAACATCGCTCACTACGTTCTCGTAGTGAGCTTCTCATTATCCAATTTATGTGAAAATTCTCGTCATTTGCAACAAATCTTCATCACTCTACAAGGAATCGAAATTTTAATTAGTAGCTAAAGAATGTCGAGAATCAGCCTGAACTGCAGTTGCATAGAGATTGCAAAGCAGAAGTGAATCAAGAGCAGTTTACGTTTATCTTTTGCTTCCGTTTACGAATTGGAGAGGAACGAATTCATCCTCACCAACAAGACATGGAAGCTTTTATTTCTTCACAAAATAGATCATGTAACAGATCTAAGACGAACAGATTTTGCTCATAAATTACAATATACCTAAGTTGGCGATTCTATGAAAACACAAATTCATCAGCGCCGTTAACACCAGATCAGATTTCAGATATGAAGCATAGAAATCAAGTTCAGAAAAATTCGAGAATATTATATCAAAGGTAAAAGGTGTCGAGTCGTTTCCTTTACGCTTCCGATTACAAATTGGTGAAGAATCAGATTCGTCCCCATCAACAAGAGGAGGAAGCATCCATCCGGACGAGATTTGGATACTTTTTAAACACAGAGTCAGAGATCATTTAACAGATTAATAACGAAAAGATTTAAGCTCCTATGATTCCAAAATTTCTAAAAAAACCAACAGATCAAGGATCCATCAGGTAACAGCCTTCATCTATTTTGCTACGTCAAAAAATTCAAAACTGAAAATAAAAATTATCAGTGATGATATTCTAAAATCAAGCACATATTGCAGTCTCCGATCTCTTAAAGGACTCACATAAATCACATATAATACTCTTCAAGTAGAGAAAATTAAGAATTTAAGATCAATGGGAAGTCGACACCTGGTTTGATGTTGATCTGAAACATCTACTAATTGTATCTCCGTCATTGATAAAATCCTTCCCCTTATCATGTTTGTGTGAATCATGAAAAAGGAAAAGGATCGCTGCGCTACTGAAAACTAAGACGATATGAAAGGGTTGATTAGGGTTTTCATCGGATGGTTGCATAATGTCCTCTGGGAAGATCTTAATATAGGGGAGCGACGTACCAGTTTCGGAGAAGATATCGAGTCTTCACCTGCCACGTTTCAATCTTTTGTTGGATACTATGTTTCACTTTTCCCCCTTTTTTTAAAAAGCATGGAATATTATCATCACTTTTTTAGTACACTACAACTTTGGTGCCTGTGTATGTTAAAAACTATCAAAGTGGTCCCTCAAACGCAAAAAGCGAAACGATAATTGCGTAATCTATACTATTTGTGATATGCATTTTGCTTTGAAAATGGTCCTCATACTAACTTTATTAGAAAAATGTTCGTTAAGTAAAATGACATTTTGGTCTTTTAACCTAATTGTGTAATCTATACTATATTATAAAATATTTGACAAAAACTCTTAAAAATCATTTTTTATGCATGTAGTACTGTTTATTGATACATATCACTTAAAATTCAATATTACAAGTAATTATACATAAGTACAACTTATTAAAGTTTTATGTTTGAATTCGTGTAAATAACTGCTGATAAACATAATCTTAGAGGATAAATATATCATTTTAATTATAAAATATCTAAAATATAACTAGGATAATTATTGAATTCTAACAGAATACCTAATTATTATCTTAAATAAATTATTTTATTAAACCAAAAATAAATTAGTTCGTTTTTAAAATTCAATTAAATCATAATAAAAAATTGAATTAAAGAAATTACACAAACAAATAAAATTTAAATAGTTAATTTGATATTAATATCGCTTATTTTTATCAAAATTTTATAATATCTTCAAATTTATATTTCATTCAAAAATAAAAACATTTTTTTTTCTCAAAACCACATAAAATCGCATTATAACATTGATAAACCCAAAATATAAAACGAAACATTAAAATCAAGATGTATCTCGTTGTATTGTGCGAGTACTCTTCTAGTTTCTATTAATATAAGGGGGATGGGACTAAAAGTTACAACCAATACAACCCCATCTAAATCACACATCCAAACGATGAACGTCTGGGAAGAAAATTGGGGCATTTTCGTTATTAAATTAGCTTTAGAAGGACATGCATGAAATTTTGAACAAAATATGGACGATAGAATAGGAAATAGACCAGATTTTTGTTGAAAGGAAACCATCCACTAGAAAAATTTCAAGGTCAAATTTTCCAAATCGCTACCGCTTCGATCTGGAGATCACGACCAAGATCGTGATCGACAACTCAAGTAGTGAAATCGTGGATTCAAAAAGCTTCATTGTGAAATCAAGTATCCGTCGATGAAATAAATGGCGGAAAACATTCAAAATTTTCCTTTGTCAGGCACCTCCTTATATATAAAAAATACACCTCTCCCACCCTCGCCTCTCCGACAACCCACACCCACTTATCTGACAACCCTCATCCATTGTTTACATTACTTGAAACTTCTCTCGTTTGTCCTGCCATCAACGAGCACATGCCACATCTCATTCCCTTAATTAGAGAGCGGAAGATTTGAATGTTTGGATTAGATCGCAGAGGTTATTGGGTTTTGATTTTTCTCATTCATATGAAAAAAAAAAAATAACTGAAAAGTTAGATCAAGTATAATTGACCAACACGTGAGGTGCCCGACAGAGGAAAAACAAACAACGTGCACATAAGGGACCGATCCTATAATAAATTGTAAACCATAGTGACCATCATTGTAATTAACATGTTTGAAGGAACCAATTCATAATATTAAACGAACCATATGGACCAAATGTGTAATTCATTTTTTTTTTATTAATTTAGATATCCAACCCGTTATGCAAGCCGATTAATCTCAGAACGACCACCTGCTTTGCAGATAGCTCGGAGCCACCGCATTTGAACCTTCGTGGCCCACAAGAGGATTTTTAATCCTTCCTTGAATTTGAACCTGAGACCTCCTAGTACTTTTGATCTTTAAAGTCAAGTTCAAACCAATTAATCACCACCCTTACGGTTCACTCTTTTTCATATCGTTGGCTCGAACACCAATTAAAGCCAAGTTCTAAAGGAAATGATATTCTTTACTTTTTAAAAGCCTTGAAAATATTCTTTAAATTGAAAAAATAATTGTGACGAAGATATGTTATATACTATATTTTTGATATATTACATACTATATTTGTGCCTCCTTTACGTGGAATTTACACATTTGATGTTCTTTTAAGTTTATTTCGTAAGTATTGTATATTTGTTAAGGGTATTTTGGTCATTCTTTAATAATTCTCCGACGTCTTTTGCTTGATTTTTGAATGTTCGTTTATCAAACTTTTACCGGTCAGAATCATCATTCTCACCTATCTTAATGGATAAGAAGTTTGTTTATTAGAATGGCATATTAGGCAATGATCTTAGCTGATAAACATTAACTGGGTAAAAGCAAGGACGTTCCAATCTTTTTGGAGGTCCTGCTACATCAAGAACTTTTGATTACATTGCATAAATGAGATAACAGAAAATATATGTTAAGAACAAAAAATGGGTTAAATCTAAAACGATTAACAATCTGAAACTAAACTTTAACCATTAAAGATTTGAATAAAACCAAACAATTAATGGTTTGAACCTAAATAACTTTTGTTACAGTTTTACATAGGTCGATAAAAAGACCTAAACACATGTGGTTTTGAGAAAGATAATGTTTTTATGATTTAGTGAAGTAATTTATTTTTGCCTTAACAATAAAATTTTGTATAAAGATGATGATTTTGTTAGAACTCAATAATTATCCTAATTATATTTGAGATTTTTTATATTCAAAATAAGATGTTTATTCTCTCTTTGATTATATTTATTTGCAGTTAGTTACACGAATTCAAACATAAAGTTTTAATAAATTCTACTTATGTACAATTTACTTGTAATCTTGAATTTTAAGTAAAATGCATCAATAAACAATACTTTATATATAAAAAATAATTTTTAAGAGTTCTTGTCAAATGCTTTATAATATAGTATAGATATTGCATGGGCTTTTTCTTAATTTTCCCAACAACTTTGTTAAATAGTATTTGATTTTGGTCATTATGGAATCCATATTTTAGTTAAATATTTTTTAAATACATGACAAATCAAACGTTTATTATATTATTTACTAATATTAAATATTTTTTTTAAATATATATGAAATCAAACGTTACAATAATTAATTATCTAAGTATAAATTCCAATAAAAACTCTACTCAAAAGTCAAAACTATAACATATTTGATAAAAGTAAGTGTTTTAAATTTCATTCCCGATCTCAAAGTGGTTATATATTAACCGAGACCAGGCCAAAATGTTATAAACCGTATTGATTAGTTTTTATGTATTGTTTCACACATGAAACAATACATGTAAAATATAGAATGTTGTTTCATATATAAAACATTCAAAATTGTTTTACAACTAGAAAAAAAAGCATGCAAATACATTTCATATATGAAACAAAGGGCCTGTTTTTTTTTTATTATTATTAACCTGGATATCCAACTCGCTATGCGAGCCGACTAATCACAAGGCTACCATCTGTTTTGCAGATAGCCTGGAGTCACCGTATTTGAACCTCCGTGACTTTTTTATTCCTCCTTTAATTTGAACATGGAACCTCCAAGTACTTTAAACTTCTAGGGAGGAGTTTCATCCAAAAACCCAAGTTTTTTTTTCTTCTAAACTTGTCCGTTCCAATAAAAACTCTTCCAAACAAAAACATTCTCAATTCATACATACACACGAATTAATCCGCACATATAGTTTTATCCATACATGACTTAATGAAAAATCAACCACACAGCCCCTAACAAACAAAAAAAAAATGTGAAACAACTTGAATCCAAACTTAAAATAACACTTATTGAATGGTTTGGATTGATTCTCACGGGTTTGTAACATTTTTCTGTTTAGCATCTTACTTATGAACTATTAGGATCACGCATGCTAGCATTCGCATAATCCAACTTGGTCGAGCTGTGATGACATGTAACTCGTGCAATAAAAGTTGTACATTACATCAAACTCGTCTACTTTCGATATAAAAAACACCCACCGTTCATAAACCAGTTTTCCAGAACAGGGCACCAACGACTCCAAAATGGCACAACAGTTTGCCGAACCAATTACCGCAAAATCACAAATATTCAACAGAGTTGAGCAGTAAAAATGACCCAAAATGTAGTCTCTCATGAGAACTCAAATTCTACATAAAAAACACACAATTATTCGTAATTAGTTCGAAGGTGTTTTAAAGTATTACCAATTGAACACCTCGAGGTGTTCTTGGTTCAAGCTGCTTTTTGGCACAAGATCTAGCAGCTTTCTCCTTCTTCAACTGATCATTTCCTATCGGGATTCGCTCCAAAACCTGATAACGAGGATCAATCAAGATTTTCTGGAGGGCGATCGCGTTGTCAATGAAATAAACCGCGAGTTCAACGTCGCTAGTACGACCGTAATAGCCCACCACCTCCACCACCTCGAGGTGTTGATGGGGATGCTTAGCCGCGTGCCTTATTTTTCTTCTTCTCTTGGCCGGTGACATCCAAATTAGCTGCAAAATATGCCCAAAAGCCGTGTGATATGATTCATACGCATATATTAACAAAGAATACAAAAAGATGGATGATCAACAAAAACAAACCGTATAGAAGAAAAATATCATCTAGCAGGTGCATAAAGAGTATAATTTGTCTCGTGAAAACTGGACCATTTTCTTACCCGGAAATTAAAGCTTCTAAGTCGAAGCTACTCATTTGCCGTTTGTAATCATGACAGATAAATTGATGGTATTGATTTGAGTCCGCGAGTTTCTTTTATTTTGCCTTCAAAGATATTTGACAAATAGTCAAACATGTACCTACTCGTTATTTTTTTTCTTATTTTTCTCGCTTTATGTTCACCATGTGCTAGTCCTTGTTCATCCACTCTTGCACAAGCAGGGGTCTTCACGAATTCAGCCGCTCTACTATTTGTGATTAGAGGTTACGTCTGTCTGCAACTCACCCCCAGACCCTACTTTCGACTGGGATTTACTGGGTCAGTTTGGTTTGATTTTAGTGAAGCATGGTCTTTAAACCATGTGTGAAGTCTTAAGGGTTTAAAAGATATCGCCATTTTGTAGTCTACCAATCGGAATTGCATCCCTATTAAACCAAATGGTTTCAAGATGAACCCATTGTTATTGTGTGACCACCAAACAGTCATAGTGCATGCAACAATGAACTCTGGTCCATATACAAAACAAATTAATACACAAAAGGTTTCTGATGGCATTCTAATCGTCCCTACAGTTGCGACATCTTTTAAAGAGCATATAGAGTCGATTTACACTCATCATTAAGCACAGTGTTTCTTTATCCATTCCACACTATGGTTTCACTCTCTAGATACCTAATATACTAAGGTTCCATTGACTCATACCATCTTCCTCAATTCTCCATTACGTGGCCTCCTCGCATCAAATAAATGAGACCAACATCTTTACTTATCCTCGCACAAGATAATAACACCCACAATGCCTACAGTTCTAGGACTTCATGGCCCTGGCCTTTAGTTGGTGGGTGATAAGGGCCGGAAAACATAATTCAGGAGAAAGTAAGGATAACTACTATCTTATCCAACTTCATTGGTATTTCAAATAGTTTCCTTATTGTAGCAGGATTCTATATAATCAATTATAAATATTGGGTAGTGAAAGCATTAGAAGGTAGGCAAAATTCATAATATTTCTTTAGTAGTTTACGGTTTTGTTAGTCTTCGGTTACTGACTCGATTATCATTCGCTATCAGAGGGATGTGTTTTTTCCTTACGTTCTCTATGTTACAATGTGTCTATTTTTCTTTCCTTCTTTTTTTATGTTGTGTACTTTTTACTAGTCTAGTTCTTATTTCCTTTTCGCTCACATTTTGGCACAGGCCATGGAACTTCATGGCAACAGCCGCCCTACCCTTCGGGGTAGAGGTAGGTCTGTATACATCCTACCCCAAGACCCTACTTTCGAGTGGGATATACTGGTTTGGTTTGGTCTAATTGAAGCTGCAAACCGACCAAAGAAACCAAGCCGATAAAGCAAAGAATTACTGTAACTGGGTTGACAAGAGCAGGTGTGTAGGACTTCATTTATAATTTACTCGTTTTGTCAATGTATGCCTTTCTTTATTTTAGCTTTGATTGCTATATATTTCGCAGTGTGGCTTGTTCAATACCAAAAAGAAGGCACTTTGTGAAAGATTTGCGTCACATGCTCCTAGGTATCGCTTCAAAAAGCTTAACAGAAACAGATTTAAAAGTTCTGATGCATGTGCGATGCTATTAAGCAAGTGATGTGCAAGAGAAGTAAAGTCACACAGATTGCCAAGAACTTAATTAAATTTCTCTTTATGATAAATGGATAAACAATGAAATCATTAGAGTTGGTTTTTTGATTTGAAATCCTATACTTATCGACCATCGTTTTGATATGCCAGGACAACCAATAATCTATAAATACTCCCTCTGCCAAATGAATTTTGCAACTTTAATCAGACACATAGTTTAAGGATGTTTTGACTATAAGTTTAATGTCTAATATACCCTTAAGAACGCAAAAAAAGCATAACCTTGAGTACCCAATTCAATATCAAAGGTTTTCTGTAACAATACTAATGGGTAAATAAGTAATTTCAACCTGAAATCCTGCCATAAGAAGAAATGATGGAAAGTGTTGCAAGTTTAATTTTTTTGGAAATGGGTGATCACAGACTAATCCCATGGCAAGTCGCGCCTGTAGGCTTCAAACGAGCATATGAAGTGTTGCAAGTTTTCATGGAATGGAGGGATTACTAACCAAATTTTATGTTATTATAACATCCCTCACTTTATCAACAAAAAACGGAGAATAACTTACATTATTTCAAGAATAAACAATGGAAAAGGATCTAAGCATATATACTATATGTTGGTTAAATTAAATCTCGTAATTGGAGGTAAAGCAAGAACCTGTATCACGAATCTCTGCAAATTCGGACACGCCTTTGCCAGAGAAGTGAACTCAAGGAGACTATCATCATCCCACGCTCCAACTTTCAATATCAATTGCTTGAGTTTTGGTAGTTCAGGAAAAGAAAGAAACTTTATATTTTCCTGAAGAAAAGAAGAACGAAAATGAAGGTAAACTCACAAGATACTCATCAAACAGAAGACAACCACATTCAAAATGATTTGCTAACCTCTGGACGGTAAATGTCCAATGTAAGAATCTGAAGATGAGAAATGCAGCATGATATCTGCCCAAACACATTATTTTCAAACCCTGAATACCCTTCACCGATTGAAATTTCTTCGAGCATTGGGAGATTACTGAGTTTTATAGTAATCCCTGGACCTAGATAGCTAAATGACTCGAGATTTGAATCACTTATCTCAATGGATTTAACTCCAAAACAGAAGACTATTTCAAAGTACTTCAAAACAAGAGATTGTCCGCTAATTTTAACATTTACCAAGTCTCCTGAGCCATGAATTGATAGTTGTTGAAGAGCCGGACAACTGGTTAGAAGTTTCCTTAATGCTTCTTCACTCACATTAACACATTTCAAAAAGAGAGATTTAAGAAACTTTATTTCCATCTCTTTACCAGAAACCATTCTGGGAACACTCAAAGACTGCCGTTTGACAGATAATCCTAAACTTCTATCAAAAATCTTGATGGGGAAAACATAGTTTCGTGGAGGTTGGCGAAGCATCTCACCATTCTCTAATAAATCCAATTCTAGCTTTTGAACTCTTTTGGATATCGCAAACTCAACCCATTTATCAATAGCACCTTTGGAACTCTTATCTAAATCAAAACAAATCCTGAATTCATCAATGGTGGGGCCCTTGTGTTGTCGGGTGACACGGTTTACCCAATTGATATACTTAGGTCTCTCTACAACACGCAGCTTTGAATCCACCGCTATCTTATCTAACTTCTCATTGGCATCAAAATCCAAGCCATCGGTTTGACACCATATGTATCTCCATCTTGTTGAGAGATTGCTAGTGGTTGCTGCCTCCTTAAGAGGTAATCTAGATACTATAGAAACAAGGATATCATCCGGCATTCGGCTGATGAAATCATTCGAATTAAAACCACGATGATCCCCCTTGAAAAAACACAAAAAACAACAAAATATCAGCTTAATTCTAACAATCAGCAATCTTCACATATGAAGTCACAATTCAATCATGACAATGGCTTAGACATTGGGTATCAATGAACATATTCCATTCACATAATTCAATTCGTTGATAAGCAATGATCACATGTTGGAGTTGAATTACAAGAATCAAGTAATGAAACTACATGAATTGAATAAAACAAACATTGAATCACTTGAATAATCACACTCATTAACAAGTAACTATCACAGTAACGACCGTGACGCATGATTAAGGCCAATTTACAACAATTAACAATCAAAATCATGACTGAATTGACTTATAACAGAATCAATTGATTAGAAATCCAGAAACCACCTTGCTTTGTGCGACGCGAGCCCTTTTCCTCATCTGGCGGAGAAAATAAAACGCAAAAGCGATCGATTACGATTACGAAGCAATCAGTGATGAATTCATGGAAAGGGTTTGGGGATTTTTGCGTGTACAGTCGGGGGTGTTTGCTGATACTAGGCAGGAGAGTGAAGAGGCAAGAGTGGTGAAGTCGCAAAATCACAATAAACTAATCGAAAATCGACCAAAGAAAAAGAAAGATCACAACCCCGGATGTTGGAAGGTTTTGATTTCAAAGTGGGTGCTTTTATATCGGAGATTGGATTTTATCTTTTTGCAAATTTCGGAAAATCTTGGGATGGTGTTCATCTTTGTACAACCTTCTTTTCTCATTGGGCCTTAGCTAAGCTATGCACCTTTTATATAGGATAACATGGTGATCCCACCGATTTGTGCTTAACTCAACCGAATTGATATTGATAGTGGTTTTGGTTTGGATGGTTTGTTATGATCAGAATGTTTGTAAACACAATGGTGCTGTTTGTTTAAAAAAAAAAAAAAAAAACTTAATTGCCTCTTATGTCTGAATCGGTCAGACATTGAGGGATTAAGTGCGTTTGTTTTTTTTTTAAATTAAGTGCTTAAAACATTTGATTTCATCTGAATTATTTAGAGGTAAAATGCAGTCTGAAAACCTCTTAATCGCGTCGCCTCAAGCTCTCGCCTACCCTCCGCCATGTTCCTCTCCCTCTCCTCCCCGCTCCCCTCCTCCACCACCTCCATTTCTCTCCCTAAACCCCACCTCCACCCGCCACCACTCCGGCACCACCTCCCACCCTTTCTCCACTCCGGTGTCGGTATCGTCGATCGATCACCGTCTTCGGTTCCTAAAGCATCGGATGCACTGCCTCCTCCTTCATCTACCTCCTATTTTCGGCATCGATTTCGTTCAATCCTTCGGAATCGAAGCTTGGGGACTGCCTTAGGGCTGCTTCGATTCGACGGCAGGCGTTGGAGAGGACGACGGGGAGGTCGTTGTTAGGGTTGCCATTGGAAGGATTCGATTACGAGTCAATTTTAGGGCAGTGTTGCGAGATGCCTAATGTTTTTCCATCTCCATCTTCAGAAATCCAAACCATTTATGGGTATTTAAACCAACCAAGCGTAAACAGGGGCTTTCAGTTCCTTAGCAGCTAGGGTTCTTCAATCTTCCCTTTTCCTTCATTAGAAATGGAAAAACATTAGGCATTGGAAACGATCATAATCAAGTTCATGATGTTAACAGTGATTCCACTTCTGATTTCCATTGTGAGCTTGGATCGTTTGAACACCAATTTCGTTTAAATGATTGGATATTTCAGTTAAATTTAATTGAAATGAATTGATTCAGATTTCAGACGTAAAAACAAACAGTCTGACTGATTCAGATTTCAGACTTCAGCACCACCTCTTAAAATTCAGAAGTGAATTCAAACTTCAGACTTCAGCACCTCTTAAAAAACAAACGCCACCAATGTGTCTTATGAAGTTAATAAGCAAATGAATTTAACCACAAGGGATTGTGTCTGATTGGTTTGAGTTTGGATCCAAATGCCAAAAATACCAGGAAGTTCATGTTCAAATCCAAGGATGAATAAAAATCCCTTTGAAGACACGGAGGTTCAAATGTGGTGACTACAGGCTATCTGCAAAGCAGGAGGTCGTCCTGAAATTAGTCGACTTACATAGCTGGTTGGATATCCAGGTTAATAAAAAAAATAAGCAAATGAATTTATAGCGGTTTTGAGGGGATTTTGTGATATTATTGTTTTTTAATTCTTTTTATTTTAGAATGAAAGGATATTGATTGTGTGAAATATTTATTGAGCTTTTAAAACAAGCTAGAAAGATGATTATCATTCACATGTTTATTAAGATTTTATTCCGTCTCAAAAAGTGGATAACTAAATTGTCAAATCTATCCTTGATTGATGCACAACTTTTTAAAGGTTGTTAGAAGAAAAAAAAATTAATAAAGGCAAAAATTGTCATTTGTTAATAAAAAAATTGTAATAATTATGCATGTTTGAAACTCTCTGCTATTTTTATTTGTTGTCATTTATTTTGAGACAACCTAAAATGTATATAAAAAAAAATATCACGGTTATTCTAATTCACAATTGAAGTAGATAAGATTAGGCATGGCAACGGGGCAAGGGTGGGATGGGTTTTGTAATCCCCGGCCCCGGTTTTTAGTAACAGCCCTCGGCCCCGGTCCCTGGCAGGTAGGGGGATTAACATCCCGTCCCCGGCCAAACCCCATGAAGAATATTCGTTAATTTGAGTTTACCAGGGATCCCCGACCCCAACCCCGATTTGAGTAACTGTCCCCGGTTTGAGTCTACCAGGGATCCCCGGTCCCGGGACCCATTTAGCGGGGAATCCCCGTCCCCGCTTGGGTCAGCTGAGCCGGGTTCCGCACCGGGTCGGGGCAATTCACCATTCTTAGATAAGATGTCATCATCTGCTCATTTTGGAGACGTTTGGTTGGCAAATAGTTTTTGAAATGAACGAAATCAAAGTAGGAGTGTATCCAATATAATGTGACATGTCTCTAATACTATTTGTAACCACTCAAACCTCTGAACTCCCTGATTGACTTAAAATAATCGTAAGAAGTTATCAGTGACCCATAACATAAGATTTATAAGGGGGTTTTAATTTACAAGATGTGGGGGCGTGGCGTAATAGCTCAATTGTTTGGATGTGACTCTCTTCTTTTGCTCGCATGGTCATGTCTTTTTGTCCAGCAAAAAACATTGTATTTACATTTTTGATACTTTTTGTCAAAAACGTTAAAACTGTGCATGGTGACAAATATCATATATAATCCATATATTTGTTCATGATTCAATACATACCAATTTACATATACTTAACATATACATCAAAATTTCACACCATGAACAAGTGTGAATTCAATACATTACAGTTCATGGGGTTATTGTTCTAATTTTACTGTAGCAACTTAAGATCAAAACAGTAAACTAACTCAATAACTTTTAAATTAATCTAGAACTATGATGTAAAGTTATTAATAGTCAACAACTTAAAAGAAACTCATGTTTCTGATTCACATGCCATGTGAGACATGATATCACATGGTTGGTTTTAGTAAGGACGTAGAAGAACCAGACCAAATTGTTGAAACTTAAAAGTGTCAAAGTTATTTCACTAGAATATATGGTACATTTATATCTATAATCAACTATTTATATCTAAATACGTGAAGTTAAGTCTAGCCTAAATTAGATTTGAAAATAAGCATAGATCCAAATAGGTTAACCTTTCAAACTGTTGTTATATCAATGGGGGACAAAAGACAACCTTATGTAAAAATAGGAATCCTTTATGGTACAAAATAGATATATTACCACTTGTTTCCTTGTTAAGAAAACATTTCAAGTTTATTTTATCTATACCATATTATAAAGCATTTGACAAAAACTCTTAAAACTCATTTTTATGCGTAAAGTACTGTTTATTAATGCATATTACTTAAAACTCAAGATTGCAAGTAGATTGTGAGTAAGTACAACTTATTAAAGCTTCATATCTAAATTCGTGTAACTAACCGCATATAAACATAATCAAATACAGGATAAACATCTCATTTTAAATATAAAAAGTTTAAAATATAATTAAGATAATTATTGAATTCTAACAGAATTATTATCTTTATAAAATTTTATTGTTAAACCAACAATAAATTTCTTCACTAAATAGTAAAGACGTTATCTTTCTCAAAACCATATAAATCGTATTATATCAATAAAGACAAAACAAAAAAACGAAACATTAAAATGAAGATATATCTCGCTGCATTATACAAATACCCTTCTAGTGTTTTCATAAAACAAACGTTGTACTTTTCCATAATGATTGTATACAACTAACTACTACATTACACATAAAAAAATAAAAAATAAAACAAACAAATACCATCGCCTCGAAATATATAACGTTTTTCAAAAAATAACACAACGAAACAAACAGCTTCATGATATCCATACGATTCTTACAGTTGAGTTTGAATCCGATATCTATGCAACGAGTCTTTAAGCGAGAGCCGGTCATGGTACACATTCCAAGCATAGTCTTCAAACGAAAACGAACTAAACTTGCTTTCTTCACTCGTTTCACCATAATGATCTTGATTTTGGTTAACGTTGCACTCAGTGTCAGTGTCGCCATGGCCTCTGGTCAAAACCCTTGAAAGAACAGAGACAGTGCTCTCTACCGGCAATGTGACCAAGAGAGACATCGTCACGGATGTTGATTCTTCCATGCTTAATATCGGTTTTCCTTTCACTTTACTCAATTTTCCATTGCTCCATACCTATCAAATAATTACCATCATCTCATTAATTACATATTTTATATGAGAAATCTTGAACGCATGCCTATAATGTGCTAAATATATACATACTTGCTGATGTCATTCTTACATCAACATTAACTAATTCTTTTTTTGATATTTTTAATATATGATTTAACCTAATTTTGATGTATATATATATATGTGCTTCTGGTAACACCTTGTATAAGAAAGACTCATTATATATCTATATCTATATCTATATATATATATGCACACACACATTAATTTTTTTTATTAATTGAAATCAACAATGTATTTTTAAATTCTCTTGTTTGCCTGAAAACAAGCTTTATGTATGCAGAAACTACCTTCTGTGTAAAGTTTAAGGGGTTATATGACAGTTGTTGAATGGTTTGGTACAGAATGATTAAGATTCTTTTATGATATAGTAAAAAATGAAATATAATTGTTTGGTCATTGTTTACAATGAAATTAGGGCTCTAAATGGTTAAAGAAGACTTAGGGTACAAAATCATTCAGAGGGTTTTAGAACCATTAAGAGACAGATTTTTTTTTGCCAAACAAGATTCATCTCTTAATGATTCAGAATTGCCTCTTAATGAAACTATTAAGAAGTAAACAAACAACTCCTAAGTGTAAACTTTGGACATTTGAAGAAAATAAAGTTTTTGAAATGACTAAAAGATGAAACCACTTTAATCAATTGGCAATTTCTATAAATTACCCTATACAATATTGCAATTTCACACATTCTAGCAAAATATTTAACTTCTTACATAATGTCTTATATACTAATCAAATGTGGAAAATAGAGTAAACTAAAAATTTGGTCCCTAGGCTTTATCAAAAAATCATTTTTCATCCTTATAGTTTTGAAATTACAAGATCACCCTCATAGTTTACAAAATGAGAGTTTTTTTCATTGATTTTTTATCTTTTACCTACATAAAATCATTTTTTTTATCAATGTGGTTTTTGATTGAATAAAGGACAAAAGAATCAGTAAAAGGACGAAAAGTCCATGAAATAATAGAATGATCGTTAAAGGAATGGACTAAATCCGAATACTTTTACAAACTAGTATAACTATTTTGTAATTTTAAAATTATAAGGACAAAAAGTGTTAACAAACCATAAAAACCAAATATGTAGTTTAGCCTATAAGATATTCCTAAAACCTACCGAAAAAGACAAAAGAAGTTGGCCATAAAAAAAACAAAAGATGAAGAAGAAATCAATTTGATGGCATACCTATCAACAATCTCCAACATTATCATACTTCTTTCTCGTGTCAAACTTGGCAAATATTTGTATTTACACAAAATCTATATTTTTAAATAACTTTTATAAATTTAACATCTTAAAATTAAGAAAATATAAAGTAAAAGACATAAAAATATTTATACTATATTATAAAACATTTAACAAAAACTCTTAAAAACTATTTTTTATGCATTAAGTATTGTTTACTAATGCATATTACTTCAAACTCAAGACTACAAGTAGATTGTGCGTATGTACAACTTATTAAAGCTCCATATTTGAATTCGTGTAACTAACTGCAGATAAATATAATCAAATACAGAATAAACATCACATTTTAAATATACAAAATCTAAATATAATTAAGATAATCATTGAGTTCTAATAATATACTTAATTATTATTTTTATAAAACGTTATATTATTAAACCAAAAATAAATTATTTTATTATTAAACTTAAATTATATTATAATAAAAATAAACTAAATAAAAAATAAGAACTTTTATATAGTTGATTTGATACTAAAAGGGATATATATTTTTTTTAAATTTTTATGATGTCTTCAAATTTATATTTTATTTAAAAATAAAATCATTATTGTTTTCTTAAAAACACATAAAATCGTATTATAATAGTAACATAAATAAATAATAAAATAAAACATTAAAAATCAAGATGTATATTATTGCATTAAACGAGTACCTTCTAGTTAAAATTAAAAAAAAATATAATATAAAGAAGAAAGAGATCATGATGTTTGACCTGAGCGATGTCTCCAAGTGTAACCAAGATAGAGTCCATTTGGGTTGAGATTGATACAGAACCCGAATCCGCCAATAAAGAACATTTTTGGCTCCGAATCTGATAATGCAACCCGACCACATAAGGGTATAATTTACCCGACCCGGCCATCGTATCACCGGGGGAGCTTGAGCTGTCGGATATCCACATCAACGAACAAACACTAGACGGGTCATATCGGGCCGGATTCTGTAACCCCATGGCGCACGATAGCGCCTCCACTACGGCTAAACCAATTTTCTCCATTTCCTGAGTGAACTCGCGTAGAGAATTCAGAGACAACTCCGATGAATCGGTTGAGCAAAAAGAGTCAAGAAACAAAGATTCTCCGGCACCGGTGTCGTCTTCATCGTCGGCGTCGAAACCGAGAGGCCAGCTTCTGGGGAAGTGTTGATGTTTCTGGTGGCGGGGGAGGTTGAAAAGGGAGAGTGAGTCGGACTCGGCTGAGCGAGCGAGTTCGGAGGGTATGGAGTGGTTGGTGAGTTGGAAGAATCCAGATTCGGAAACGGAAGTGAGCGTAGAGGATAGGGAGGAATTGAGGTCGGGAAAGGAGATGACCAGAGGCGAAGTAGTGGTGGCGGCGAGTAAAGAACGGCGGCGGAGTAAGATAGGGGTGTCGGAGAGAGTAGGTGGGAGTCGGTGGAGAAGGCGGGAGAGAAGGTCCGTGACAGCTGAGTCGGAGGTGGAGGTGGAGGTGGAGGTGGAGGTGATGGAAGGTGTTGGTGGTGGAGCTGATGTGGCAGGGAAGTGTTGTTGATGATTCTGAGCCGATGAAGCCATGGATATATATTTAGAAAGGTTGATCGCCGGCGATTGATATAGAAAGACGGTGGCCGGAGATATTTCCAGATTTTGATCGCCTTAGGATTCTGGTTTCTTTAAATACCAGTATTTATATGAAAACTCCTAGAGATAATAAAAAGACGACTCATGACGCAACAAGTTCCAACCTTTTCATTTCAAAATGAATTTAATAAATCTTTAAAATTGAGAAATAAGGATAAAAAAAAACACATTTTAAATGATTTTTTTAATAGGGCAAAAGGATATTCGCACAATAGAGCAAAATATATTTTGATTTTAAAGTTTCGTTATATTCCGTCTCTGTAGATATTTTAATATGATTTTTATGTGGTTTTGAGAAATGGATAATATTTTTATTTTTGAATAAAATATAAATTTAAAAATATCATAAAATCTCAAAAAAATATCAAATTAACTATTTAAAAGTTTTTGTTTTTTGTGTAATTTCTTTAATTCATTTTTTGTATTATAATTTAATTTAGATTTGATAACGAAATAATTTATTTTTATTTAATAATATAACTTTTTATAAGGATAATCGTTGAATATTCTATTAGAACTCAATGATTATCTTAATTATATTTTAGATTTTTTATATTTAAAATGAAATGTTTATATTGTATTTGATTATGTTTATCTGCAGTTAGTTATATGAATTCAAACATAAAACTTTAATAAGTTATACTTACGCACAATTTACTTGTAATCTCAAATTTTAAATAACATGCATTAATAAACAGTACTTCATGCATAAAAATAGTTTTTAAGAGTTTTTGTCAAATACTTTATAATATAGTATAGTTAAATGATTAAATGTTTTATTTTAAACGCATAGGTTCATAAATTTTTCCATCTTAAACGATTAGGTAATTGAATTTTATTAATAAATAAATATTTATAAAAAATATTTTATACAATTTTTAAGTTTAAAAAAGTTGCTTTTAAATCTTACATCATTCAATTCAAACTTCTCACACCCAACGACATTGCTTCTATTTACTAGCCCTTGGGTAGTGTTTGGTACGCAGACAGGATTGGACAGGACGGGATGGGACATAATGGAACAGGACGGGACGGAACAGGACTAATTGTCTGTCCTATGTTTGGTACGACTAGAACAAGATAGAATAAAACTGTTAAAATGACTATATTATCTCTAAATGTTATTCAATGTTATTTTTATATCATATAATGTTTGTAAAATGACAACAAATCAACCAAAATATATTTTAATTACATAGTTTTTGTAATCAAGTTTAATACATTAAATATAAATCCAAAAAAATGACAAAAGGAGGTTGACAAGCCAACCCGGTAATCGCACTTAAATATTACCTATTTTGACATGTTATTCAACCTACATTTTTTTAACATTCCAAGACCACATGTAAATAACATTTGTCATACCACAAATTCACTTGTAACATTTGTCACGACATTATCAAAAGTTTAACATTCCAAGACCACATGTCAAATGTACCAAAATAAGAGATTTTGAAATCCAACAAAAAACACCCAAATGATAATTTTTGAAATCCAACAAAAAACACCCAATTGATCATTTTTGAAATCCAACAAAAAAAACCCAATTGATCATTTTTGAAATCCAACAAAAAAACACCCAAATGAACCACTGGCTGTAAGCACATGGTAAAGGTTTGAACCAGTGATCATTTTTGAAATCCAACAAAAAACACCCAAATGAAACAAGGGTGTGAAACACAAAAACCCAGATGGGATTTCACAAATAAACCTGAAATGAGAAAGAACCCAGGGGGGATTTGTGGTAAAAACAAAGGTGCAAGATTAAAAATAAGAGATTTTGAGCAAAAATTTCTTGAACATGGAAGGAAGGAAGAAACGATGACGAAGGGGGCTGCAAAAAAGGTAATTAGGTTTTCTATTGAAAGAAATAACAAGGGTAATATAGTCAATTTATATTTAGTCTCATGTTGTTCCACTTTTTTTGGTGGAACAAAAACCATCAAGTTTTGTCCCATGAAATTTAAAAATAGTCTCATGTTGTCCTATGTATTTTTTATCCATGGCATGCCAAACATGGGACTATTTTTTTTTGTCCCGTCATGTCCCATGTAGTTTGCATACCAAACGCACCCTTGATGTCCCATAGTCGTTTAATAACCGGATAATAATTCCAAACTCTCTGTGATTGGATATATTTAATTTATTTCTCTAAATAAACTAGAAGGGTACTCGTATAATGCAGCGAAATACATCTTGATTTTAGTGTTTCATTTTTTTGTTTTAGTTGATGTTATAATACGGTTCTTATGTAGTCTTGAGAAAGTGGTAATGTTTTTATTTTTTAATAAAATATAAATATAAAAATCATAAAAATTAAAAAAAATATTATATTAGTACCAGACTAACTATTTAAAATTTCTCTTTTTTTATGGATTTCATTAATTTATTTTTTTAATTTGTTTTAATAATATAATTTTTTATATACATAATAATTAAGTATTTCATTAGAATTCAATAATCATCCTAATTATATTTTAGTTTTTTTATACTTAAAATATAATGTTTATCAATTATTTGATTATGTTTATCTGAAATTTATTATATGAATTCAAACATTAAATTTTAATAAGTTGTACTTACTTGAATTTTAAGTAATATGCATCAATAAACAGTACTTCATAGTTCATACATAAATGATTTTTAAGAATTTTTAATTAAATGTTTTATAATATAGTATAAATTATAAGTGGGGGGAGACATAACACTAATTTACAAGAAAACATGGATATAAATTGGGGACCCTTAAATTCTGAAAGCAAAAATACAAATAAAAATAGTACAACAACTTTGTGCAGGAGGATGGCAGGCTGGTAGCGTGTTGTAAGGAATCTTGTACCCCTGGTGGAATCAAGGGTCACGCCCTTGCTCTTTTTCAACTTTCAATGAAACCTCCAAATCAATATAAAATTATATCTCAATATAAACGTGTTAGAATTGAATTTCAGTGTTAAATTGTATTCGTCTTGAAAGTTACTATTGTCTATAATTAAAATAGACATCGTGTTTGACTTTGTATGTACATTGACTTTGACTTTGAAGGGTTCATTTTTGACCCTATATAAAGCTTTCGTTCTTTGTAATTCTTGTAAGAGATTCATTGTAAAATTCATACATATTCATTTGAGAGATTTATGAGCATTGACCAGATTGACTTTCTCTCTTAAATCTCCTTCTATTGTTCTTGAGTGTTAAATCATAGATTGTCATGGATTAATTGAAGATATTTGAAGATTGATCAAAGTGGACTATCAAAACTTACATTTACAAGCATAAATAAACATGTCCCCAACATTTACGGTATTTTTACATAAGTAATATGTTATTTATCATGAATGTTGTAATATTAATTATAAATAATGTAAAACGTTCATGTTCATTATTCATAATTAAGGAGAACAAATGGGACACGGTCTAGTAGCCGAAAGCATCACTAGCTTACGCTTTGACCCGAGTAGCATGGGGCACGTGGAATCTCGTGTGAATCAGCAAGGACCACCTTGCAAGGCTAAACTCCTGGGTGACCGATAGCGAAGTAGTACCGTATCTATGACCCTTGGATGCCGAAAGCGTCCTTGGGGTAATCTCGTAGTTCTTACGGGGTGGAGATGATGGGGTCGGTCCATGGATTTTCAATTTGAATTTAAAGACTAGGAATGATGTGCATAGAAATACAGTATTTTGCAAGGAAAACAAGATAAAAAACTGGAGTCAATTTTTTGATGAAAGTAAACATTTTGACAGGAAAAAAATGAACTTGAATTCGGGACCACTATTTGAAATCTTAGTGAAACACTGGATTTGTTATCTCCGATTCATAATGGAAATCAAGTTTGTAATTGAACTTTTCTCTCTCTTTCTCTCTCTCTTTATATACACACACACATAATGATGATAAAATGAATGAGTTAGGTCGAATTTGATAACAACTGGGTTAGTTTTATAAAATAGGTCAAATTAGCCACAGATCATGTTGACCCGTTGGGTCAAAAACTTGTTTTCTTGAAATAAATGGTTGAAGAGAAATTTTTTTTGTTAATTTTGTACTTTGTGTGTTAGCTTGAAGAGAAATTTTTTTTGTTTATTTTGTACTTTGTGTGTTAGCTTAATGAATAAGAAGTGTTTTTTTGTCAAATTATAAAGGTCGTTATATGAACGATTGGAAAGATATTTGATGCTAAAACGCAATATATATCTAGGGCAGGAATAAAATGCAAACCAAGTCATTGGTATAAACCGTGAAAACCTCATTCAATCAATCATATTTTTTTTTTCTTTTCTTAATTATGAGGGTTGATTAGTCATTTTTTTATTATTATGGAGGGCGTTAATTATGAATATTATCATCTTAATTCTATTAATTTTAGTAAACAAATTTCATCAAAATGAAAAATACATTAAGCAATATAACTTTTACATAGAAATAAAAATAAATGAAACAATTTATCAAAAAATGAATTATTTGAAATAATTTCATGAAATTTTTTTATTAAATTAAACAATAAAATCAACGATTTCGAGGATTTGTAATGATGATTTATTCTTGGCTTGTGTATCAGTGTTGGAAAGTAATCCTTTGTTAAATAAAATATTTACCTCTAGGCACTAGCCTTTCCATTGCTAGATTTCGTTGATTTGTTAGGCATCAATTCGGTTGTTGATTCATTAGGTGGACCAATCAAATACATTTTTTAAGTAACAACATCGTCTTTTATTAGATAATAGCATCTTATTTGGTACGACATAATAACTACTAATAAATGATCCTTAAATTACTTATTATTTTACAAAATAAGAGATTTTTGAGTTTGATTCGTTTGAATGCTGTTAATTATACTAAAAAGGTATTTGCACAACGCAACGAGATACATCTCGATTTTAATGTTTCATTTTATTTTGTCTCCATCGATGTTATAATACGATTTTATGTGGTACCAAAAAAACGAATATTGTTTTTATTTTTTTTAATAAAATATAAATTTGAAGATATCATAAAATTTTGAAAAAATATATATCAATTTTTGTATCCAATTAAATATTTAAAAGTTCTTGTTTTTTTGTGTAATTTCTTTAATTTTATTTATGATTATAATTTAATTTAGATTTAATAATAAAGTCATTTATTTTTRGTTTAATAATATAATTTTTTTATAAAGATAATATTTAGTATTTTGAATTCAATGATTATCCTAAATATATTTTATATTTTTTATATTTAAAAATGAGATAATTATCCAGAATTTGATTATGTTTATCTGTAGTTAGTTACACAAATTCAAACATATAGCTTTAATAAGTTGTACATACGGATAATTTACTTTTAATCTTGAATTTTAAGTAATATACATCAATAAACAATACTTAATGTATAAAAAATAATTTTTAAAAGTTCTTGTCAAATACTTTATAATATAGTATAGATAACAAGCAAGACTCAAGAGAATGAGTCATATCTCTTATTTGATTAGAGAAAACTTTTTTAATAAACAATATCTACTCTTATGAAATGAATGTTTTATTTAACGAAATAATAGATTTTTGTTATAGGAAAAATAATAGATTTTTGATATATATATATATATATATGTGTGTGTGTGTGTGTGTGTGTATCTAGATCCCCATAGTAACTACATCCATGAGCTGCATTTCCAATCATTCGAAAACTACTAGACTGATTAAATAGCAGAATGTATAGGAGAGTAAGTTTTTTCGTGGTCTATCCAGAGCATTGTGAAAAACCGTGCACAAAAGAAGAGCCTTATACATTAAGACTTAATTATTCTCATTACGTATTTTGACAAAGATTCATTTATGTCCTACAAACTTTACACTTGGTGTGTTAGCATTAACGAAAATATTTTTTTTTTACTCTTTTTTCACAGTATAAACAGTTATTAACAATGCACTACAAATTTATGATTTGTATTATTTTTATTTAGTTTCGACGGTAATATCAATTAGATAATTGGGAATTTGGTTTTGAATAACTAAAGGAAAAATACCCTTTAAACCTTGACAAATAAGAAAAGTATAATGATGTTTTGAAAAATTAGAATGGTACTCGTGTAATGCAGCGACATATTTTGATTTTAATATTTCGTTTTATTTTTTATCTCAGTCGATATTATAATATAGTCTTATGTGATTTTGAAAAAGCGATAATGTTTTTATTTTTGAATAAAATATACATTTGAAGATATCATAAAAAATTGACAAAAATATGTCGATATTAGTATCAAATCAACTATTTAAAATTTCTCATTTTTTGTGTAAATTTTTAATTCAATTTTTTTAATTATAATTTAATCTAAGTTCATTTATATTTGGTTTAATAATATAATTTTTTATAAAAATAATAATTAATTATTTTGTTATAACTCAATAATTATTCTAATTATATTTTAGATTTTTATATTTTAAAATGAGATGTTTATTCTCTATTGATTATGTTTATCCTCACTTAGTTACACGAATTCAAACAAGAAGCTTTAATAAGTTGTATTTATGCACAATTTACTTGTAATTTTAAATTTTAAGTAATATGCATCAATAAACAGTACTTCATGCATAAAAAATAGGTTTTAAAAGTTTTTGTCAAATGGTTTATAATATACTATAGATAAAAATAAATGCCACATAATATTCTTTAATTTTAAATACAACTCAATTTTAGGAAACGCCTTCATACTCTTACTCAAGGAAATACAAACATCATGACTACAAAATAAATTGTTGTTATTTAAATAAATAACTAAATATCTATACTATATTATAAAATATTTGACAAAAACTCTTAAATATCATTATTTATGCATGAAGTACTGCGTATTAATGCATATTACTTAAAATTTAAAATTACAACTAAATTGTACGTAAGTACAACTTATTAAAGCTCCATTTTAAATTCATATAACTAACTGCATATAAACATAATCAAATACATGATAAACATGTCATTTTAAATATACAAAATGTAAAATATAATTAGAATAATTCATTAAATTCTAACAGAATCATTATCTTTATAAAAAAAATATTGTTAAGCCAAAAAATAAATTACTTCACTATTTGACCTAAATTAAATTATAAAAAATTGAATTAAATAAATTGTAAAAAACCGAAAACTTTTAGATGGTTAATTTAATATTAATATCGATATACTTTTTCAAAAATTTATGATGTTTTCGAATTTATTTTTATTAAAAAGTAAAAACATTATAGTTTTCAAACCCATATGAACCATATTATACCAATATATACAAAAAAATAAAACGAAACATTAAAATGAAGATTTATTGCGCTACATTGTGCAAGTACCCTTCTAGTTTAAAGTAAATTCTATAATCATTGTTGTAATTATAATTTAAATAAAATTAAGATAGTTGTATTATATATATATATATATTTTAAAGATTTTAATGAATTGCAATTGTCTACTTTAATTTATATAAAAAATATTTCCACCTAAGCATAAATGGACTTCCAATTTCACAATCAAAGACTAGAAATATTCAAAGCTAGACAAAAGTAGTAGTTCATAAAAAGTTAAGGAAACTATGCAACAAATAGCAATATTTTAGCAACAAATATAGCCTATGAGTAGTAAACATGAATATTACTTAATTGATTAGTTGATTTGTAGTATCAGGAAACATATTTTTAGCAGCGGTAGACTGATTTAATTAACGGAGCAACATGCTGATAATATGTTATAGGAAAAACAAAATAGATAACTGTAAATAGAGAGGTTCAAATCCAAGAATTAAAAGTATCAGGAGATCACAGTGATTGCTTATAAATACAACTTATTGACTTATTCCGGTGTGACACCGGTAATAAACACTTTTGAGTGTTTGGATAAACAACTTATACCGGTGCCAAACCGGTAATAAGAAGTTTTTAAATAAATTAAACCCTTCTGACTTATAATAAGTTAATAAGTGTTTTTATAAAAAAACATAAGTTGTTTCAAATAAGCAATCCAAACATAAGGTAAAATAGGTTAGGTTGGTTGGCCACAATTTTTTTTCCTATTTTTTTTATTTTAGCAATAATTAATATCTTAAATATCAAAACGATTTTTGACCTATTTCATCTTAGTTATGCTTTTTTTTTTTAAATTTTATCCATTACAAGTAAAATCAACATATCTTTGGATAAATAGATCGAAATACACTTAAATCTAGATATAATTTTTACTAAAAATTATTATATTTCTAAAATAATAAATTTTATAATATTTTTAAAAGTTGAAAACATAATTCAAATTTCAAATGGATTAGATACCTGTAAAATGTGTAGTTATAACGAGAAAGATACGAATAGATCTTTATTATTGAATTAATTTTAATTGAATATCAACAATAATGAAGTATATCAAAATGTACCAGATTAATTCTCTTTTAAAATACAATTTATAAATAACATGGGATTAAAAAAAGTTTAGGTACTTTTCACCTTCTCACACGATTGTTTACGGTTCATTTCATAATAGATCTAAAAAATAGAACGTACAAACATAGTTACAAGAACATGTCACAAAATTGAGGCCCAAGTCAACTAGAATTTAACCCAATCCCCAAAAGAAGGTGGTCCCACCGTTTCGCCATTAACGAGAAAACTCGAAGAAACTATGAAGCAATAGGAACGACGTTGGAGCTCGTCAAGTTTCAAATCTTGCGCAATGTTTACCAAATTATTTCATAGAAATCCTCAACAATCTTCTCCACCTGAACCACCTGAGGTAAATTTCACCCTAGTTTTGAGATTCTATACATGCCTTGTTATCGAATTTAATTCAATCATCAATTGCGTAATTTCTTGTGACTTAGTCGATGATCAGCTCAACAATTTGTTCTCTCTTGTTATATGGAACATGATATTGTTATGATTTGTTTGGTTGCCGAGAAACAACAGGAATCTGAAACAAAAAGCAAGGGAAATTGATAACTGCAGCTGTTCAATGTGTATAAGAAGTTTACGGATAACATAGTGGCAGGAAATGTAAAATTGGATTTGCCGAGTTCAGCTGATAGTCCTTTTGCAATGGCGACGAGATTGAACATAATTAGTACAATTGCATCACCATATGCACATAAACAGAAAATGAAGAACACGAGGGTTTAGGAGGAAAATGGCATTAGGCAAAGCTACACAGCCAGCTGCCTGAAACCAGTTAGCAGCAGGAACATGTGTTAATAGACAATATACTGCTTTCATAGTATAGAGATTACAGCAGCCAAACGATGATTATAGAATACAGTGATGGTGGTGGTTATGAAAACGGAATAGCTATGGTAATTAGGGAATCACGATTGTGAAAAATGGGGAATCCAATCTCCATAGAAATTGCAAGAAGTTTTTAGTTTCTTAGAGGGCAAAATGCAACAAAATTTGGTTTAGTTTCTATTTAGTGTAATGGAGATATTTTTCTCAATTGATGTAATAAAGTTTCAAGAATTTCTATTTTGTATCCATTTTAATGAGTAACATGCTGATCTTCTAACATTTGATGACTTACACCCGCATAAGGAAATTTTACAACGAAGGGGATGATAAACTTGGCATCCACGTCATCAAGTGCTACAAGATCAACAGGTTATTGGTCAAAATCGGTACAAAATTATAAAATTTTGTTCCATTGATTGAATTTTTTATTTATTTGTTACACTAAATAAGACCCAAGGCAAACTTCGTTTCATTTTTGTACATTTTGCCCTATTGTAAATTATGCTGGGGATTATTGTGTAATCAAATATAATTACATAAACCATATTGGGGATTAATGTCTTTATATAGTTAGGTGGATTTGTACCTAATGCACAATTTTTTTCATAGTAATAATAAATTTCGGAAGCATTTCTTATGACATACCTTGGATACTATCATACCCTGTTCTGGTAATTATAAACACATATGGTATCTTCCATTGCTTAATGCTTTTTGGAGTTGAGTTATTGATTTGCATGGTAGCTATTGAGCATATATCATCAGCCTCCATGAATCGTTAATCCCATGTTCTCTTGTTTGACTTTTCCTTTGATGGTCGGGCAGTATCAGCATTAGATCAATACCACTAAAGAAGAAGAAAATAAATATTCCCACTACTTGTGACTGGTACCGTTGTTGCTGGCAGCATAACACTCTGTGAAGGTCATTTTGGATTTACCTAGGTTCAATATCTGTGTGTGTTAGTTTGTTAGATATGAAGTTGAACCCAATAGGTTACATGTGGCAGAACTTGGGCAACTATTTGTAATAACAAGGTTATAATCCATTGTATCTTTCTCTTTCTTCTTCGTCACATATTTTCTAGATCTTTTACATGTTTTCTTTTAAGTGTTTGCTAGACTATTTACTCTTATCATTAATAGACCTCTCATTACATTGGCCTGTTATGGCGTATGGTTTTGTGTTGTTTGTAGCAAAGTAACATATTTGTTAAATTGTTTCTGCTATATTAGCTCCTTAAAGCTATCAAAGTATCTTCTGCTTTGTGTAGCTTTTATATAAACTAATTCCTATAATTTTGAAAATATGTGCATGCTTCTTTTGCAGGATGTTCCACAATTGAAAGACTTTGAACCACGTGTTGTTGTTCATTATGGGATTCCATCTACTGCATCAATCCTGGCCTTTGACCCCCTTCAGCATCTACTGGCTATAGGCACACAGTGAGTAGAGTATTTATTATAATTCAAATAGTGAGTCAACACTAAGCTATTATTTGGAACCTACCTTAAGTGCAGCCGTAGATGGGTCAAACCATTTAATATCTGAAAAGAGAACATAAGAATTCCCTGGTAATGGTTTTCCTTCTTTTGGTCATGATAAATTTAGGTTTCTTTGATCCACACATTCTGCCTCCCTCTATCACAATAAATTGCATTTGAGGTTAAGGGGGTACAAGATGAGGCTAGTAAGTGCTAACTAAAAAGGTGTAATAGGCCCCACCTGCATTACATTCTTTGTTTCTGTTTCCCCCATATAATACATTATGACAGGGATCACAAACCGTTGGTACATGCATTTGTTCATGTCATGTGTGAAAGAGGAATGGGACTCACCTAATCCATATAATATATAAATCACAAAAAAGCAAAAAACAGGTTTGAGTTTATAAAGCATATGACACTTAACATGATGAGATTTGTTTTTACTTGAAAATTAGCACCTGTATTGGTGATTTTGGTGTCATCAATCATTTTAGTGTAGTTGTGATTTACATGAGATTGTGGAGTTTACAATATGTTAGGAGGTGCAGAGTGCACACTCCTATAAGCTACCTTGGACCTAAGATCACAATAAAAGGAAGAAGGGGGGGGGGGCGGGGTCAAAGGGGGCTGCGTCCCTAGCAGGGTCAAGGGGCAGAGCCCCTTGCGAAACGGTATGCACTAAGTAATCTTAACAAGACAAAGATCAGAAAGGCTTGTCCTTGATTCGGAATGCTAAGTCTTTGATCAGAAGACTAAAGTCCAGAAGGATAGTTGAACTCTTGAAGACAAAGTCCACTTTTAGAAAGCAGTTCAGAAGGCAATCTGAATTCCTGAAGGCCAAATTCAGGAGCTGAAACACCTTCACTTCAAAAGGAAAGTGAAGGCGAGAGTTGGACTCAGAAGGCAAGCCTTCTGAACTTTAGGTGCAGTAACTGTTTCTGGAACTTATCCATTTGTAGTTATTTAAAGAACTTTTTCTTTATCTTCAAATAACTAGCTAATCACCCAAATTAACTGGTGAATTACTACCTATATAAGTGGTTTTCAATCTCATTATAACATACAAAAAACATAACAGATTCGGTGTGTTTTTGCTCTCGACTTTGCCTTAAACCTAGAGTGCGAATTTAAACTATCTTAAAGTAAATTCCATAAATACCTAAGGCTGGAAAAGGGTCGGAATATTACTTGCAGACAGTGATTCTTCATGATCCAGATTTTAGATCCAAATCTTTCATCAATACTCATACCCTATACCCATATTCTAACAACCTGTGGCCAGGAGTATAAGCTTTAAAATATCTGCTCCATGTTTACTTCATTTGGATTGTAATTCTTTTAGATTCTTGACTTCTTTTATCACATCTTCACTTTTTTGATCTAATAATTTCCGGGCATCATGTTCTTTTGCAAAAAAAAGAAATTAAGTAATGATGCTAGCGCATTATAATGATGCGAGATATCTTGTGACTAGTCAATTACATGCATATGTATTTCTAGTATTCAGGAATACTATGTTATTGTGCACAATCCTCCTTCCAGAAGAGCTGTAGATGCTCTTTGGAATGCTATGAAATTATAAATGGATTTTCTAGGGAGGGATATGGGGGCAGGGGGAGCACGATGTGTCTGATGACCTCAGATATGGCTTCATTATTTATGTTATGTGTTTACTGTTATTATTATTTACTTGTTTTTTCTTTCTCATTATTCTGGTACTGCAGGGATGGCAGGATAAAGGTGATTGGCGGTGATAACATTGAATGCCTTCTAATATCTCCTAAGCCAGTGCCCTTGAAAAACCTAGAGGTTCTTGAACTTGACACTCTTGGCTTTTATACATCCATATTATATTTCATTTGTGCTGATATTGGGGATTATATTCTTTATTTTTCATTACTTTATTTTGTCAGGTGTACTCATTAATCACATAGACTTAGATATTGTTGGTACTATCCAGAGCATTAAAGATGCCTATTGTTCGGTGCAATTTAATGTTCACTCTTTTGTCTAAATCCATAATAAGCTTCCTTTCTCATGTTGTTTACATGTAATATATCCTTTTGTAGATTGAAATTACGTCACCTCTTGCTTAACAAACATTCTTCTGTTTTCTTCCAGTTCTTACAAAACCAAGGTTTTCTGGTCAGCGTCTCAAATGAAAATGTAGTACAGGTATGACATTTTGTATCTGCAATTTCATCTCTTGTACCCTGCAACAAGCCAGAGAGGCACTTCACCTACTATCTGGCTTGGTGAATTGCTGCATTTACTAGTGTCCTAGACCCTCGTTAAAGTGCTTGTGAATTGCTGTAAATTGCTGCATTTACTGGTGTCCTAGACCCTCGCTAAAGTGCTTCTAACTTTACAGGTTTGGGATCTAGAACGGAGGTGTTTGGCTTCTAATTTACGGTGGGAGTCCAATATAAGTGCATTCTCTGTAGTTTGTGGCACTAATTACATGTAAGTTTCCCCAAAATTGACTTCTTACATTCCAATCTACTGCATGGGATCATACCAAGGTTATAGCTTGATGCATGGTTTAAAGATCAATTACTAGTTGACTATTGCAAGCAGGTATGTTGGAGACGAGTATGGGTATTTGTCCGTGTTGAAGTATGACATTGAAGAAGGGAATATCCAACACATGCCCTACCAGATTCCTCCTGATCTCATAGCTGGTAATGCCGACTGCTACTAGTTGATAGTTGGTAATCTTGATATATTTACTACTACTTTGTTTGGGAACTTCTGCATCGTCTGTTTTTACATCATAGACATCCTCTGTCAGAAGTCACTTCTCTGTTGCATCAAGTCTTATTAATTTTCTTAGGCGGAGTTTTCTGTAATATATCCAGAATTTATGTCATTTTTTTCTCGTGTACAGCAGACTGCTATCATTTTAGACTATTAGCATATTTGTTACCTAGAGAATCATGTGTTGAACAACAAATATTTAACATTATCTTTCATATTCTATTACGGCTAAGTATTCCAGACGAACCTAGCTAATATATTGATACGTCTCAGGCCGACCCACACTGGGGTCGGATATATCAGCGTCGCAAAAGAGAAGCAGGAAACAAGTAGAGGGGGTTGTTTGCAATTTCCTTATTCTTAATTAATTGATTAGGAAAGTTATTAATTAGTTTATTAGGATAAATATGTTTTCCTATTTTTTAGGATTAGGGTATATCTTTTAGGATTAGGGTACGACTTTATTTAAGGGACCGGCCACCCCATTGTTGGCATTCATGCTAGTATTTTGATTATTGTCGTAGACATTGGAGATTACTGGGTCTCGAATTCCA